CCTACTGTTCACTTAACTCAATTATCTATCTGCCCTGGCTTCTTTGTCAGGCTTATATATCTAAAAAAAGAGGGTATTTAGATCACAGTCGAGCTGGCAGGTGAATTCATGATCCTTTGAGAAACTCCAGCGCGCATGCCCCCAGCGTTGCGTGACTTCCAATGTCGTAACAAATGTATTTTTGTCAGTTTACACGTATGTTAGCGACATTTTCCAAGAAGTAATAGAAAACAAATATGGTAGTTACCTCATTTTTTCTCCTAACATATTTGGTCATCATAGGTTGTTGGCAGCTTTGGTCATCATATGCTGTTTCACTTCCTTTGGGTTCCTTTATAGCTTCATCGCTTGCATAATCTTTTACCATGTGGTATAATAATCCATCACAAGTTTATTTATGTACTATTAATGTTGATTCTAGATTTATAATTTAGTTCTAAATATGTGTACATTAACACAAAATATGGGGCTTAAAAGATCGTTATCGTTTTCTCAGAATCGGCTCACCTCTCTTTCATATCAGATATCACTATTGGCCTGGGAAAATGCCAGAGGTCCTTCCTTGGACCAAAGGGTAAAATTTATTGCTAATGTCGAGAGAGAGAGAGAGTGTGAGCAGGATAAGAAATTCAAGGTTATTCAGGCTAACAACTGGGTTTCATGATAGTCCAGGGCTGATCCCAGAAGTGTGTGCGTGTGTGTCTTTTTACATTTAATAAAGTTTGTCATTATGTATTACATATTGTGTTCGTTTAGTCTCTTTGTCATTCCTGGACTTAAACTAAGCTGGTATTAAGTCAGCATTGTTCTGTGATAAACATATCTTCCACACCCACAAAAGGTTGAGAACAGCTCAATTTGATAAAAAACTAAATAAAAATGATCTAATCTATTTACATTCGCCTTTCGTTTTGCCTTCAGCTTCAGAATATATTCCTTCAGTTTAGGTCAGACTTTATGACACTCCACACTGAATGAACCTCTTTGAGGCATATTTTCAATTGAATAACAGTCTGTGTATGCTATAAAGGCGCGGGCGCAAGATTGAGCAAAGTGTTTTTCATTTGAGGTATAATGGGAAATGTCATAAGGTGCTCTCTCGTAATTCATGCCTCCTTTTGAAGTCAGTAATATTTACATAAATAAACTTCCGGTGCTGGAGAATGGAGCGACAGAACATCTCCAATTATTCAATCGCTTTCCATAGGCTCGCGCCCGCCCTTTCAACTAAATTATTATACAACATAGTTAGAGCAGTTGCTTGTTAATGAATATTGATGTGGACTCAAATTAAGGCTGAGACAGCGTTCAGAATACAAGTTTCACATTCACTGCTTGCATCAGTGAAATCAAGTGAACACTGAGTTATTTTCACATCACTTTATTCATCTTGTATTATATTTTAATCTCTAATAGTCTAGTACTTTGCCCATGAAAGCATAATAAGATGTTACATCTCAAAACGTGCCGTCATATACAATGTTGTTTAGGATAATCATCAATAAACCACCAATTTAATAGGTGTGTCTAAAATCTTAGTTTTAACTTGGTTAAGATTTTATTATGTAACGCTTAAAGACACCTCCTTGCCCCCCCTCCCCAAAGCGTTACATGATATTTGAACGGCCCATATACTTATTATTAATTGCAATCTGAGGTTTATTCTGCCATCTGCTGGTTGTAGTCATCAGCACGTGTGCGTGTGTGTGTAAAAACAAACAACATAATAAAATTGAAACTCAAAACCACGCCTCCGCTACCATTCCTTGCAGTAGTCCTTAAGTCAAAGGATAATTCCTGTGGTCATGGCACCCATATGGGTAATCTCTTAAGATCGGGTATCCCGGAACTTTGCTCTCCCACAATGCAATGTCCTCATAGCAACTGAGGCGAAGAGGTAAACAAATAGCGCGACGAATGGGAAATTTCGTTCATTCTGTACACTTGCCCGCTGTCTATACTCGTATTTGTAACAACTATTTGTGTTTGTGATGTACTTTTGTTGTTCCAAACCTGCAAATATGGTAAAGAATTGTTACGTATTCAATTGCACAAATAACAAGTTGAAAATACCTGAACTTTCCTCTAGCTCGCCTTAATAGCATAAAGTAAAAATTTGTGGGATTCTATTCCTAGCCTAGAATAGTCTTAAGAAATTTGTCGATAATTGTTTTAATTGGTAGTTTACTTTTTAGTGCTCGTTTCCCCACAAAAACAAGCTACTGAAAAGGAGAGAAGTGTTTTGTGGCTGAATGCTATCAACAGAGGAACATAGGAAAGCTGTGTATTCAGCTCATTTTATATCATGTAAATGTGGTCTTCCGATTTTTTTCTAACACAATGTAATTGTACACGTCTGGGTACTGCACATTGGGCCATTCTGTCGGGTCGTTGATTCACGAGTCGGCAGAGTGCTGGTAGGGACAAGAATCAAGCCCAATTAATTGTAACCATACTCGATATTTCGTTAATGTCTCCACATATTCATAAGACATTGCAATTAATAATTTGACAATCACATAATAATTTATGAACGATAATTGAAAAATTTGCACAGCAGCTTCAGCAGTAACACGTGTATAAGGTAGACCTATATAAATTGCGTATACGCAGCTATATTCGCTTTCCTATTGTTTGCCCCTTTGTCAAGATGGCGATCGTGTTACCAGGCAAAATCACATAACTGTGACGTCACGCCGACCTCAAGGCCATCTATCAGGCAAACTCCAAACGCCGATAAAAAACTTGCCAGTAACTAAGGGGAAACAATTAAGGGTTAGGAGTTGAGTGCTTGAACCCACAATGTCTGAACTTGAACTATCTTTCGCTGTTTGCACCCAGTTGTGGAAAGGCAGTAACCCTTAATATTTAGAAATAACTTTAATGTAGAATTCTACAGCGTAAAACTCCCAACCTCCACCCTTTTATTTGATATTATAAAAGATGTTAACCAAAATAAGAGACCCTTTCCGTTCAAGCATAAACCGGGTGAGCTGGGACAAGCCCAGCTACCTGAAGTTGGTCTTTCCGCCCCGGTATACTGAACTAATCTAAAAGTGACAATTACCTACTTGCCCCCAGTGACACAGCGGTATGTCTGCGGACTTACAACGCTAGAAACCGGGTTTCGATACCCGTGGTGGGCAGAGCACAGATAGCCCTTGTGTAGCTTTGTGCATAATTAAAAACAGACATTACCTACTTAAACCAATTAACTAACGCCCTCTAAACTTTCCATAATATATTCTCCGGGAACGAGAGCTTAACCCTTAATGTAGTTTCATATTTATTATTAAAAAAAGTAGAAAAAATTAATAAGCCAGTCCTAATAACCATTATTTTTCAGTTTATTTTTGAATAAGTTAATATTATGCATAATAAGTGTGTATGTGTGTTATGATAGTTTTTGTGTTTCCTTTTGTCTATTTTGTCAAAATCAACCTAATATCATTGCATTTAAAAATAATCCAAGTTCTACAATCCATCAGTTTTCTACAAGTATTGTCAAGATTCCAACACTAAGAATAGTTAAATACGCTTTTAAGACAAAGGGCATGAACTTTATTGTTTGTAGTTATTCGAGTATTTCAAGATAGTGTGTAAGATCCAATGATATTGCTGTTATTTCACGTATATACATACTAAAATACTGATGCGCAGTTTATTACCAAAGAGGTTTCATCAATTCATCGCCAAAAATTTCTTAAGTCAGCATTTTTCGCTTTGAGTTTGTCAAATTAAATATCATTTATATCTATACCCATATTTAATGATTTTCTTTTTTCCCCATCTGTCTCAAGGGTACGTCACTCGGAAAACTGAAGCGCATTTCAAGAATCAAGCCTGTGCCATCATTTACAAGTAAAAAAACCAAGACGGAAAAACAAGTGGTTCTCGTTTATAATTATCGTGAAAACGTTTTTCCCTTCTGCTACCTGTCATGATCGTTCAAAGCGCATCGTAATCATTATTATGCCTATGCAATATTTTTAATAAAAAATAAAATTATAACATACCATTTCTAATATTTTAAGGGCCAGGGAAAAATTAATATTTTTTATCTGGTCTGACGAATGGATATTAATGTAGACAAATACCAGTTTTAAGTTAAAGTTTCATAAGAAACAGAAGCAATCCACGCCGAAGTTGGAACTATCGTCGTCATTTAATCACTATGTTTAACTCGCGTTCAGGAAAACTTATCGTCGTGGATGTATATAATGATGAAGATAATATGAAACGTACAACAATATCTAAAAAAACAAATGTTTCTGAACATGAGAATGCTCACTTCGACTGTCCAGCGAATAAAAACAACAATCAATTTTTCTGTGATGAGAATGAAACCTTTGATGAAGTGGATAATCAAAAATCTGTCCCTTTGCCGACTCTTGTAAAACCTGGTGGCTGCAATGGTTTTGTGACCGTAGTTAACGTAAATGACAATATTTGTACAGTGATGGGAGGAGAAAGTGAAGCAAGTCAAGGAAGTACAGAACTTACAGAAGATATTCACAGTCGAGGAAACTTTGTAACAGTTCTACAAGTGAACAGTGATGATAATGAGAGATTTAAACATGATTCCAACATAGAAGAAGTCACAATTTATCGCCTACCGGAGGAGAAGCTGGGGATGGCTTTGAAGTTTGAAGGAGGAGTGGATGTCACAAATAATGTATCTAAGGTACATATACAGTCTCTCAGTGAGGGTACCCCAGCTGCAAGAGCTGTCTGTACTATCAAGCCTTTACAAGCGGGCGATGAAATACTCATGATCCAGGGAAAAGAAGTTTCAAAACTTACTCGGTTTGACTGTATAACTATGCTTCGAGAGGCCACAGATTCAGTGAAACTTTTAGTAAATCACCATTTTCCTAATGAAGTTCATTACAAACAGAAAAACGCCACGGCTCTAACGCAAAAGTTGGAGAACAATAGAGTAAAATCAAAAAATATCAGACCTGAGAAAGAAAGGATGAGAGGTCCTGCACCTCCTGTTCCACCAAGAAAAGTAAACAGATGTTCCAGAGTTTTCGGATTCATCCAAAACAAACAAGACTGTCACGAAGAAGACTCACACAGACAAGTTACTTTAGCAGAGCGACATAGAGAAGCTCCTCACAGGTATTTTCAAAATATGAACAATCAAGCTAATAAACCACCTGACATAAACAACTCAGTGAATCGAAGACATTTTTCAAAGAACAAAAATCAAATGAATAGGAGTATTACAGTAAGCGACGACATTACAGGAGAGTGGATCTTTGATAAATATAAGAAAATAAATCAATCTGCGACACCGTGTTCTTCAAACAAGAAGACAGTTGGGGATTCTACTGGAAATAGTTTTCAGGAAAAGGACGAAAAAAAAATCCATCAACATTTTGATTTAAAACAAGTTCTAATTCCTTTCGAAAAATTAGAACGAGAGTTGGATGAAGGTGATTTTAGTGAGACAAAAAATGAACAACACCATGATTTCTCGAAATATGGCTTTACGTGCAAAAAGGATCTAGAAATAAATGAGAACATTCCAATTGATCCTCCCGTATCATTTCAAGACCAGGTAATGACAGGGCACATAGAGCCAAGGGTCAGTCTAGAATCCAATGTGGACTTAATAGGTTCTCCAAAGTTATTAGAACCTTTTAACCTTTCAACTAATGAAAAAAGCCAGAATATAAAAAAGAATGAACTATACAATATTAGAGAAGAAAATTTATCAGAATGTAGTAAGAAAATGGATGAACACGGTATCTATAAGGATCAAAACAAATCATTTCAGCCAACCAGTTCCACTACACGAGAAGAAACTAATCAAAATATTTGCATCAATGTGACACAAAATGTAGATTCCAGCTCAGGTATGCCGGAAAACCACAATGATCAAGATATAATTATTTCTAATTGTACAGGACAGTCCGACGTAGTTCAAATGAGTGATAATTCAGAAGCTAAAAACAGCATGACAAAAGAAATTAAAAAACTCGATTCCGAAGAAAAAAATTTATAAAACCCCCTGTTTTCCCAAGAAGGATAAAAATGCCACTGACACTTGGGTCTTCAAACGTAGTAAAAGATAAGAAATTAGGGGAGACTAAATCCTTTTTTGAAGTAGTCAGGAAATCGTTCCCATTTGCTTTTCAACACAAAAACGTTTTTACTCCTAACCAACTTGAGTCAAAAGCCTTTCCTGAGGTTTCTAAAAGCTCTGGTCAATGGCACGCTAACAGCTTGAAGTCAGAAAATGGGAAATGTGATTTGTTATCTAAGGTGAAAACTTCTAAGAAGGTAGGAATATATCAAAACTCTACTGATGTAATCCAGATTGTAAAAAGAAAAGATGGGTCAATAAGTGCTATGAAATACAGTTCAAGTGAAAGTAAAAAAGCAGGATACCAGAATGTCGAGGTTACAAACCAAGATTCAGTTGTTTTTAAGAAAAGTGCTGGATTTCAACAGGCTTTCAGTACCACTACTGTTTCTGGAGCACATAGAAAAAGACATTCATCCGAAGACCTCTACAGTTCTGCAGATGCCTTAAATAAGAATGCCCAGCATAGATCAGACGAAATGGTCAGGTGAGAAACGTTTAGTGTTTTCAGTTAATGCCATGTACACTTGGTTTCTTTCAACAATAATTATTTTGACCATTTACAGTGACCAATTATCTTTTTCCGTTTTTATAAACAAACATTAGCAATATCTTTGTCATTAAACAATGGCGAGTTATCTTTTCTTTGTCCGTTATCATTATTTAATATAAAACTTTGTTTATGCTGATACTTTTTTTCACAACAAGCCAAATATCTTAACAAACAACACCACATAAGGTGGCAGACAAAAAATCTAAAACTGAATAGTGTAGGATAGTCTGCTTTAGAACTTATATTTAAAAAAAATCGTATCTCCGTCAATAGGGGAAGCATTGGCATAGTGGTTATTGCTTTGAACTCGTATTAGGAAGGTTGCGAGTTCCAGGCTGACTTATGACATGTTGTTGTGGTGTTGAACAAGACACTTTACCCCAATTGTTTCACCCCTATTCGATTGTATAACGGGTACTGGCGGATAAATGAGTTAACGTGCGATGTACTAGCATCCAGTACATGAAGAATAATTTCACCATTCTCATCCACTTGCCTTAAAATCGGAATTCAGCATCGGCTTCTATGTTCCTTTTCTTCATGGGACAGATTTAACCATCATCGACGTAAAAATATTTATATTGCTTCAAGAAGTCTCTTAATAACAGAAAATTTTTTAAAATTTGTCTTTTTACTAAATCGTATGTATTTTTAAAATCCAATATTTAAGAAATAGACGCTTTATTGAATTTTGTACATTGTTCATTAAACAAACTTGTTGCTTCTCAATGTAACACTGGAGGGCGCTAAATTTAGGCCGCTTTACTAATGATTAAGCTTCGTATACTTTCCTTGCATGTAAAGATTTGTTTCCTTTCATAATAACGAGTTCACAAGATTGTGTTGATATCGCAATAGAAGAAGGTTTCAATAGGTAGCAAGTTAGTCAGCAACATTATCTAATCTTTGTGTTGTCGTCTGGATAACGATGAAAAACGTGTTGAATCATAAAAATGTATCCTGAATTATACAAAAGTAATAACCATAAGTGACAATGTGATAATTTTGGTTAATTTTTGTTATTATATATTACTTCATAGCCAAATAACACTATTCAAATGGTTTCTAATTTTTAGCGCACTGCTCACAAAATTAACAGCTCTTAGGAACGAGGGGATGCAAAGTAATTCACATACATTACGACAACAGTATTCTTTAGATAAAAGTACATGTTGGAAAAAAGACAGAGTATGTGTTCTGTCAACGTGCAATAGTTTCCATAACACTGTACAATAATACCAATATAAGATATTGACGAATATAAAACCTGTCATTTCATATGCTTCATTTTTATTATTTATTCTAAATTTAGGATGGCATACATTTGCAGGAAAAATATTTCATTTCTTAAACCAAAGGCTTGGAGATACTTCATAATAATAAAGCCTTCTTATGGTACCCAACTTTTTGCGTTTGAGAAAGGCTGTAATTTGAATGGGCAAATAGATATCAAACTAATTACTACATATCCATTTCCAAAACATAAATAATTATTTTTAAATACTAAGTCAACCAGTGGCTGCGGTAAGTCCGAGAGTTAATTATAACGCTAAAATTGGGATTGCAATACTCGTGGTTGGCACAGCACAAATAGCCCATTATATAGTTTAGCGCTTAGCAACAAATAAACACAAACATTTCTGGTGCTAGTTTGTGGTTTTTAGATTCTTGTAATGTTTTAGTCCTTTTTAAAAACAAAACAAACCGAACTGGTATTGCTGGCATGTTAAAAATTATTACTCTAATTCTTTTCCAAGTCATTATATGTACTGAAGAGCTGAAAATGTGTGTGTGTGTGTGTGTGTAAAAACCAAAACGGAGATGTCTTTTATAGGATTCTATTTCTAGCCTAAGAAAAATGTCATTTGCCAGTCCTTATAATTATCTATTAACTCATTATAGAAAATATCTCTGGTCATAACACACAAAATCGTTGAGGATATTTCATCTATCAACCATCATCCAAAAAAATGTCAAAGTAGGTAGTCGCTACGAAGATCAAATTACTTATTAATTAGAGGTTAGGATATAAGTGCTTTGACCCACAACAGTAAGTTGTGGGAAGGCAGTCAATCCTAATATTTTGATATAAAATTTAAAGACAATTGTTAAAATAGCCTTATAATAGAAATAAACCACCCTATATTTCTATGTCTCCCAACCTCCATCCTTTAAATAATTATTACAAAATGATAGTAATGGGAAGTATAAACTCTTACCTTGATAGTTTTCGGTAATAATTAATTAAACACCAACCCTCCCTCTTTACAAAACTTGTTCAAGTATAAGCTGGGACAAACCTAATTACTGTACCTGAAATTGGTCTTTCCAGCCCACTATACTGAACAAGTCACGAAATAATATTTTAAGGCTACTAATTTATAAACTTTGGTTGACCTTGATTAACTAGCATTATCTTCGTTATCTCAAATACGTAATATTTATATATATATATATATATAAAAGGCTAGATATTTATAAACTTTGGTTGACCTTCATTAAAACTAGCGTCCTCTTTATGTTCTTAAAAAGGTAATTATTACATTTATAAAAAATATATTTTAGCATGTTGCAATATTTACTATAAAAAGTGTATTTTGTATATTTTTCAAGCTTTATATCCATTCTTTCTAGATTTAGTTTCCAGAAACTGAACATTACCTGTGAAAGAAGGATTGTTATTACGAATAGTTAAATTTATTTTTAGTTGTAAGATACTTATTCCTTTTAATAGGATACACGGGACTACACTACTTGGGGTAAGTAGACTAAAGATGGGAAAACTAAAATCTCTTCTTTTAATTTTATCAAAAATGATCAACTGCACTCTGCCTTCCATGAAAATAATAGCTAAATCTAAACAATGAGTACAGTTATTGCTATTGTTACTTCTTTGTAACGTGCATTCTTTTGGATATATTTGAGTAGAATCAAAGCTTATATTATTGATAGAAATTAAATAATTTGCGTTTGGACCATGTTTGATATATGGAATACCTTCAGCGATTTTGGGTGCTATGACCATAGACATTTTCCCTTACGAGTTAATAAATAACGACAAGGACTGGCAATGTTTCCTTATTTGAGGTTAGAATCTCATAATAGATATCTCGGTTTGGGTTTTTGTACTAATTTCCATCATTTTTATGTAATACTGATCTGATCAACTATATACACAGCGTGGTCACAAGTAAACAGACACCACCTTTTCAGAAAAAATTAAAATTTTCAGTCATATTCACATGAATTGATATATTTATAATTTAATTAATATCTAGTAGATCTTCTTTGGGGCATCGCGAGAATCATCTCGTCAATTTTAGATTGTGGGATTTTCGCCCACTCTTGCTTCAAAACTTGGAGTAGATCACTCTTCGAAGTTGGTTTTTTTGGTTGTTTCTTAACTTGCCGGTCGAGTATGGCTCAGAGGTTTTTCGATGGGGTTCATGTCAGGAGATTGGCTCAGCCAGGGCAACTTCTGGATACCATTTTCTTCCTGCCACTTTTGGGTGTTTCTAACAGCGTGACACGGTGCTCCATCTTCCTGGAACAACGTTGTGTTCTTGTCCACGAAACCGGAGGAATAAAGTGGCAAGAGTCCTTCCTCCAATATTTCGACGTATTTCGTAAAATTTATGTTGCCAACGCACTCCACTAAGCTCGATCTCCC